AAGTTGGATAAGTAAAAATTAATTGTTAATATATGTACAAAAAATATATATATAAATAAATTTATTTTTTTTTATTTTATATGGATCCCCACGGTTCCCCACGGAGTGGAGAAAATTCTCCGCGAAATTTCACGGGTAAAAAATTGCCTCCATCCCCACCCCACAGGTAAGAATATTCTGAGAATCTCCATCCCTGTGGCGGGGATCTCCGTGAAGCTCCGCGGGTCGCGGATAAAATTGCCATCCTTAATCCTTGGGGAGGCCCCTCCCACGGGAGGACAAATAAACAATACGCCAAGCCCAAGAACGGCCCCAACTCGGACCTAGCGCCCATGGGGTACCTTTAGCAAAAAGGTCGGCCTTTTTGTTAGGGGGACGGATCCACCTAAGGCTTTTGGGCTCGAAAGCCTTGGGCGCTAGGGCCTATTGTGTATTTGTCCTCCCAGCCCAAGTGGTACCGGGGGTCACCTGCGATGTCCCTTAAGGGAGATCAAACTTGAGGTCTCCCTTAAGAGACATCACAGGTGACCCTTGGTACCACTTGGGCTGGGAGGACAAATACACAATAGGCCCTGGCGCCCAAGGCTTCCGAGCCCAAAAGCCCTAGGCGGGATCCTCAGCTGAAGTGGTACCAAAGGTCACCTGCGACGTCTCTTAAGGGAGACCTCAGGTTCAATCCCTAGGGAGGACAAATAAACAATATGCCAAGCCCAGGAATGGCCCCAACTTGGCCCTGGCGCCCACGAGGTACCTTTGGCAAAAAGGCCGGACTTTTTGTTAAGGGGACGGATCCTGCTCCCAAGTGGTACTAGGGGTCACCTGCGACGTCTCTTAAGGGAGACCTCAGGTTCGATCCCTGGGGAGGCCCTTCCCTCGGGAGGACAAATACACAATAGGCTCTGGCACCCAAGGCTTCCGAGCCCAAAAGCCCTAGGCGGGATCCATCCCCCTAACACAATTATGTTTCAGATAAGACTTGGATGCTGAAGTGGCTCTAGCATTGTAGCGTCGTTTTTAATACCGTATTCGGTTGTTGTCGTTAGAAGTTGTCAAGTTTAATCTGAATATTCTGTTTTCGGGGTATTTAAAGCTTTTCAATTTTTTCCCTTTTTTTAGGAACCCTGAGGAGATCCCATGGGCTGAGATCGGAGTTGACTATGTTGTTGAGGCGACTGGTTTGTCCACTGAGATGGTCAAGGCTGCTGCTCACTTGAAGGTTGTTTACCGTTCTTAACAATTGTTTCTTATTTGGGATTTATTTATCCTGTGGTATATATATATATATATATATTTTTTGAATAGCTATCCTGTGGTATATTTGACGTGGTTTATGTTGGTAATTTTGATTATTATGTGATTCCCTTTCTTAAAAACTGAACGTTCTTTAGTATTACGCCTTCCGTCCCACACACGTTATTTATTTATTTATGTTTGACAAGTGATTTTTTGCATCTAGGACTGACTAGATTCTTCTTGTTTATATATTCAGGGTGGTGCAAAGAAGGTCATCATCACTAATATTAGCAAGGATGTACCTATGTATGTATTTGGTGTGAATGAGAAGGAATACAAGCCAGAGAATGACATTGTTTCCAGTGCTAGCCTCATCACCCACCACCTTGTTCCCATTCTTGAGGTTTGCCTTGCTGCCTTTTGTGTTTAAATACCACTTGTGGGATCATCACGGGTGTAAATTTTTTTTTTTTTTCTTTTGTTTGCCGATAAACTTTTTCAGGTTCTCCATGAGAGGTTTGGAATGGTTGAGGCTGTTATAAAGATTCACGACTCAACCATTGGTTAGTTGTTTGTGCTTATGTTTGTTCAATTTGTTTTCAATGGCCAACCACCTAAATATTTTAATGGTAATCTTTAATAAGAAATTTTAAATTTAAATTATATAACATGTAATGAGTTGAATTAATGGATATTAGACGGTTGCCTCCTATGTGCAACCAAAGATTAAAGGAAAAAAGAAAAATATTTGTTTTCAGTGGACCAAAAATGGTTTCCTTAATTGTAAGTGTTTTATGTATTTTGCAATTTAGATTGCAATGAATTACAAAACAGGAACTATTAGATGAGAAAAGAAGTTCACTCTCAATCAATAATTAAAATTATGCAATCTAAAATAATTTGGATTTCACAACACTCTTTCATAATTATAATTAATATAGTTACTCACCTTTTTCTGTTCTGTTCAGCTACACAGTATATTGATGGACCATCAACGATAGAGTACATGGATAGAAGGCCTGCTTTTTTCAACCCAGTTCCTATATTCACCAGTGGTGCTGAAGTATGCTTAGTGGAGTGGATAGTTCTTTATTGTTGCAATAATTGAATGTCTTATTTTGGTGTCAAAAATCTTTTTATTTGGTCTCGAGTGAAATCTTGAATGTATGAATGATGCCCTCAAGTATTGTTCTTTATATTATTCTATCAGAACCTTAACTAATTCTCATCTAACCTAATCATTATTGTTGAGGATATTAAGAGATATATTAGGAGATATGCATTAATAGTTATCGAGTTAGTTATGTGATAGCTTTTAGAATTATTATGTTAGATTGATTTAGGGTTTATAGATTTCTTTAGTCAATGGATTACTCAATGCTATATAAAGGCTAACTATATGCTCATTATTATATCTCTAAATAATTAGAGTTACGTTTTTCTTTCAGTTTCCATAATTATGCTTCTGGATCATGCAAGTTGTTCGAAAATTTTTACAGGTTCTCTATGGCAGTTTTGGAATTGGCGGGCATCTTATGCCTTCACTCAACACCTTCTTTGCCATCGCTGATGCTGTCAACATAAGCTCAGTGGAGTGGATAGTTCTTGTTTTCTCGCAAATTGGATGTGTGATTTTGGTGTCATTAATCTACTTGGTAGCTCAAGGGTGAAATCTTGAAAGTGTCAATGACGACCAAGGCAGCGGCTGTTTATGATTATTTTATAGTATAGAACCTTTAAATAATGCTCATCTAGTCTTATTATTATGCTTTGTGGTTATGCAGGCTGTTGGAGAATTTTTATAGAAAATATGTGACAGTCTTGGAATTGATGGTCCTATGATCACATTACTCAAAGTACCCTCAGCCTGTGGTAAGTGGTTTTGGCTGATCAATTTGTTTTCAATGGACTAAAAAGTTTCATTAATCATGGTAGTTCCTCTTACTCATAAGTCATTTTGTTCAATTCAGCGGTGCTGAACATGATTGATGAACCATGTTGAGCTTCTTCCATTGGCATCATTCTTGCTGATATCGAGGTATGTGCAATGGACTAGATTTTTGTATCATCACTTAGTAGCTTGGGTGAAATCTTAATGTATTATGATGCCTTGGAGTACTACCCTTTATCGTTATTTTATCCTATATAACCATGACAAATTCTCATCTAATGATTCATGATCACGCAGGCCGTTGGAAAAGTTCTTGCCTACCTTTATGGTAAATTAACTGGAACGGTCTCCCATGATCCAACTATGGATGGATCAATTGTTGTTCTCACTGTCAGGCTTGAGGAGCAGGCAACTCTTGAGGACATCAAAGCAGCTATCAAGTAAGTGCGTGTGTCCACATCTATAAGCACCTCCAGTTTTTGTTATGATATCTTGATTCTTGTGCCTCTGTTACTTGTTTCTGTCATGGGGGTCTGGTCTCCTATTCATACTCTTACGATCCTCTCAGGGAGGAGTCTGAGGGAAAGTTCAAGGGGATTTTGGGCTACGTTGAAGGTGCTCATTCCAGAGACTTACCTAGTGACATAAGGTAAATTGAAAACAAAAATTCCACTTTAATCTCTGCTAGTTTTGATCAGGACAGTGAATCTATCAGAGCATAAAAGAACCAAATATAAATAGTATATTATGGGTATGATTTTGATTTGCATAATTATGCTAATTTGAAAGTTTTCTGCTAAATGCAGGTCAAGTAGTATTTTCAGCACCATGTTCACTGCTTGTTTTGCTTTGAACAATAAATGTTTCAAATTCATCTTCTGCTGTGACAACCAGTGGGGTTATAGGTAATATTGTCAGCCATAGCTTCATATCAACTTGAATCCGTTGATTACACATTCTAATTTACATTGAGTAATTGAGCTGTTGTATGACCCCTTTGCCTGTCTGGTTTTGCAGCTGTCGTGTAATTGACTTGATTCTCCATATGGACTCTGTCCAAGCTCAAAGCTAAACTAATTTCAGGCGATCAATATTTCCCGTTGCCGCAAATAAACCTAGATGTTACTTATGACGACCTTTATGTTATGTTTCTAATATTTCCATAGGAAATACCGTATGCTCATGTTGAACTTACTTCCGAATTTTTTGAATTGTTTTCCCCTTTTTAGTACCACCAAATTTGAAGCGGATCTGAACATCGTATAGATTTTGGTTGAACTAATTATATTTTCTATGCTTTTATTATTTTGGTATTTTATTTTGTTATGGTAGTTTTGTTTTTTGTACTTTCGTATTTGGGGTGGTTCTCAATTTGAACTGAATACGAGTTTGAGAAGGTCTCATCCAGGAGGAGCATAACCATATGTAATCAAGGCTTACAGTTACATGACTGGTAAACCTGGCAACGGGCAGGTTGGGTCGGGTTAGGGTCGAGTCAGAACGGGTAACGGATCAAAACAGGTTGGATTAAATCGGGTCACAGGTCAATGAAGGCAGACCCTAACCCGCCTATCACAAGTCACGGGTCAACCCGCGAGTTGACCCAATTAAATTTTTTTTCTTTTTTTTCTCTATAATTTGTACCTATTATCATTCAAAGAAAATTATTCAAAAGAAGAAATTCAACATCTTATAAAAATAATTTTTTTATTAATTTAATATACATATTTATAGTTTCTCATAATCACCTTCTTTATTTCCTTTTAAAAAACAATGCTAATCAAATTTAAGAACACAACACTTATAAATCTCAATAGCAAAAAAAAAAAAAAAAGCAGTAGTAGCATAACAACCAAAAAACACAAACCCCATTAGAACATATTTGTTTTGGTCATTGCTTTCAAGGAATAATCAATTCAATGCATCTAAGTAAGTAAAGGAGAAAATCAAGTAAAATTTTTACTTGGAATGGAAAGAAAACTAAAAAGCATAAATAAGTAAACAACTTACTTTGAAGAATTTAGAGAGAAAAGTTGGTGACAAAAAGAGCACTTGCCGGACTTATAAGAGAAAAAAAGAAAAGGCTGAGTGGACGCAACGATGACTCGATAAGACTAAGATTTAAGTTTAAAATAATGTTAAAGACTAAAGAGAAAAGGTGGAGTCAAAGCTTGAAAGTCAAAGGCTATATGAACTATGGAGGTTGAAGAATACGGGAAGAGTTTAAAGTTTGAAGAGTTAGAGTCTTCGAGAGTATTAGGGCAAGTAAGAATAGGAAAGGTCGGAAGGTGAGTTATGAGTGAAGTGGGATTATTTTTACTTCTAGAAGATGATGAGTCAAGAGAATCAATTAGTTAATTAGGGAATATTAGTCAATTATTAGAGGTTTAGGTGGGATTGGGAATTGGAAAACAAAATAAATAAATAATAAATTAAAAAATTTTGTATTTTTAAATGGGTAAACGGGTTAAACCCGTTAACCCGATGGGTCAACCCGTTATTGACCCGTGACCCGTTGGGTTCGCTTAACGGGTCATTAACGAGTCACGGGTTATAAATATATGACCCTAACCCGTTTTAAACGGGCGGGTAATGGGCAGGTAATGGGCGGGTTAATGGATTAGGTAAAAAATTGCTAAGTCTAAGGACTGACATTAATATAACAGACGAAACTCTAGAGAAGACTATTAATCAGAATTAGAAATCAAATCTACACTATGTAACAGCTGCAATATCTAAACGCGAAACTCATAGGGGAAAAACTTCCAAGGATTGAGCACTCCTTTAGGCTGGCTTCTTAGAATTGTCGATTCGACAAACTTTTACAAATGCTTTTCCTTAAAGATAATGATGCATGCACACTCCGCACCACACACTCCATTACACACTTCAATTTCCATTATTTTACTGTTAATTACATTTAACTCCGTTACCATCTCTTCAGCCATCTCTCAACTCGCCCAACCTTTTATGTCCTCACCAAATCCATCTTCCTCCTCACCTCCATCCTTATCCTAATCATCTGCAAGACAATTGTCAGCCTCTCCTAGGTTCCCACCTTCTTCCTTTTTTCTTTTTTCTTTTTCTTTTTTTTTTTTTGTTTTTTCTAGAGAACCCGACTTGGGTTCTTCTCCAAGAACCCAGACTGGGCTCTCTTGGAGAACCCGAGAGAAAAAAGAAAAAAAAAAAAAAAAGGAAGAAGGTGAGAATACGTGAGAGTGAAATAGAGACTAATGGACTATGAAAGTTAATGGAAAAAAGAGTGTGTAACGGGAGTGTGGTAGGAATGTGTGTGTGCCAATCATGGTCCCCTAAGGATAATGATACATGCACACTCCCGTACCATACACTCTGTTACACACTTCAATTTTCGTTATTTTATCGTTAATTACACTTAATTCCGTTACCATTTCTTCAGCCATCTCCCAACTCACCCAACCCTTTCCGTTCTCACCAGATCCATCTTCCTCCTCATCTCCATCCTTATCCTAATCATCTGGAAGACAATTCCAAGCCTCTCCCACGCTCCCACCTTCTTTCTTTTTTCTTTTTTTTTTTGTTTTTTCTGGAGAACCCAATCTGGGCTCTCCTAGACAATCCGGGAGAAAAAAGAAAAAAAAAAAGAAGGAAGAAGGTGGGAACATAATGAGAGTGAAATGGAGACTAATGGAGTGTGAAAGTTAATGGAAAAAAGAATATGTAACGAGAGTGTTGTACGAATGTGTGTGTGCCAATCATGGTCCTTTTCTTAATTCCTGAACACATGAAAATATGAACCTAGTTAACAGATGTTATAATCATAAGAAATTAACAAAAAGTGATACTCAAAGAGATTTATAAATTTAGAAGTATTATTGAGATGAAAGATTATTTTGACCAATCACCTGCTGCTTACCCAAGTGCATTCACCTGAAAGATTTCCCTTCTAATCTAGAGAATGAGTCCAATAAACTTTTAATCCCTACAGTGATCAGAAACTTATTCGGTAGAATAGAAATTGCCTGAAAATGGTGACTTGAAAGCATCATGGCATCATCTATTTCTTTATTTCCTTTTTCCATTATTTCTCTTTATCTAGTCAGGCCTATAGGAGATACATAGTAGGAAGTAAAATCTGAGTCATCAAGCTTCTACTCTTCTAAAAACCAGGCATTATTGGTAATATGTTGGAGAAACAAACCACTAAAATTCCAAGCCATCAGCAGCCAACTTTAAATAAACATTCAAACAAGTATAAAAAATTTATAAACTCATAGAAGAACTATTACCTCAGTTGGTTCCTTCTGAGTTGTTTCTATTGTTCAATGGTTTTCCAAATTGTAATAAGCTCTAGCCTTCTCATCAGGAGCATGAACCATTACCCTACCTATAGAACAGAAAAGAACTCCAAAAATAAGCAAGATGTATAATTTCCATAAACCTTTTTGAGAAATGACTATGTCAATGATCAGATAATTATTCCACAAAAACTTGCATTTGAAAGTGGCTTTCATGTGGATTACAATAAGGATGATCAAGAAATATTCTTGGAGGCCTTTTCCTTTGGAAAAACCTTGACCAACTTCTTTTTTTTTTTTTTTTTTTTTTTGTATCTGCAAAACCTTGACCAACTTGAAGTTGTAATAAGAACAAAGCACTAAAATTAGCAGTTACATAACATTTCAAATTATTTTCTTTGAATTCAAAACTGTATCTTTTATGCTACAATTCA